CCCCAAAACCCCAAAACCCCAAAACCCCACAATACTATCATTTGTTAATTTGAAGATAATTGAAAGATAAAAATTAGGCTTAATCGCAATATCTTTATTATTGCTGAATATTTTCTCATTCTGATTAATGGAAATCGATTAACTTATAATCTTTTTCTAAAGCATGAGATGACTCGACTAAATTAACGTAATATCCAAACAATATTTACCCATCTCTTTGATTTTCTTCTTACTCTTCACAAACTAATGTGTAGCTCATAAAATCTACTGAGTGAACAAGAATAATATACCCAGCATAGTTTGGGCTCCAGTCATGCCCGTAGGCGTACATTTTTTCTAAGATAATATCATCAAATCCATCACTTTTATAAACTGGACTGAAGGGATATCTTCCAACATTAGAAAAGTTTAAGTTATTTCCGAGATTACCATTTTCTTCTAGATTTTTAAGATAATCGGGGGACTTCCAGTCAAATAATCTATTAACCACATGGTAAAGAAAATGGTCTCTATTTTCTAAGACTTCTTAAAGTTGTCCAAATATTGAATGCACAAGATCCCAAAAACTTGTTTCTTCATTAAGCTTATATTTCAAAGAAATCATTCCAATAAAAAGTTAAAGATTTTTATATCCAAGTTTCACAGGGAATCTATCTCTAAGATTTACATCAGTGTCAAAGGAAAGTTCTAAATTAGAGTTTTTTGCCATTTTAGATAAGCTAAAATAGATAGAGGCAAGTAAGACTGAACCTATGGTTACCCCTTCTTATTTGCATCTTAACTTTATAGCCTCATAATTTTCTTTAGTTCCATCCTTAAATGATGGAAAATTCTTTAATTACTTTCCAGCTATTTTAAAGGGAATTATAGGCTTCCATTTAGGTCTTGTTTCATTTAGTTCTCTTAGTATTTATTATATTCTATGTTGCTCTTTTTCAGGGATACCATCAGGGAAAGCAAGATCTTCAACATTAGGTAAAGGTTAAATAGTTTCTATTGCTTCTATTGCTTGAATGTTTCCAGATCTCAAATGATTGTATATTGTTAAGAAGTCATTTGTCAGAATCATTCCGCCTATTCCGTCACCCTAACAATGAGGATAACCCAATAGGATCACACTCTAAGATGGAGTTTGAAGAAGATAAACTTTTAGAGTTAAATTCAAGTAATCAAGTTTTTAATTATTCAGTTCATTTATTTTTTCCTTGAATTGATTATCATCTTCAATAATAAACTCTTGAATATCATTGTAATTCAGTTCATTTAATTCCGCCCATTCAGAATTGCCTTCTTCAATAGATCTCACAGACATTGTCAAAATTTTATGTTTTTTCACGAGAAGCTTAGAGGTTTCAAGTAAAGTTTCAAAGTTTATTCTGATTCCTTTAATATGAATTTGATTGTAGCAGCTTCCTGCATATTCGTAGAGATTTTATTCAAAAAATCCGAGCTTTCGAAAACCTTCCTCCTTGAAATATCGATTTCCATTTTGATGATTATCAGATTTATTCAATTAGCCAAATGATCTGCTCGCTAATATAGATTTTAAAGGTATCTAGGCATTAGTTTGCTAGAACTATTATCGATATACATGGGACCATTTATAGTTCAGGCAACCCTTGGTGTTAAAATAGGCAGAGTATTAGTCATGAAAACCCCCCAATCTCGAGGTTCGGCTATTGCAATTCTCGTAGAATCGAGGATACTGGCTAGTAAGTTTATCCTAAATCAGTTCTATAGGCTATTAATTTCCATAGAAGTTCAACATATATCCTAGTTTAATGAAATGCTAGCTTTTATTGTGAACTTTTGAAGCATGAGATATCATTATCGATTTATATTAATTAATAATTTTAATATGCCTTCAATATTTATGTATGAATTTTAGTGAAAATGTTTTGAAAATTTCAATACTTATATTTTATCAATTAAATATCTTTGCTTAGATTATTATTTTTCTCACTGGGGTTTTGGGGTTTTGGGGTTTTGGGG